TCGCCTCAGACTCCGTGAAGGACTTCCAGGTCCCTGGCTGGCATGAGGTCGTTGCTGCACGTGATGTCACGTTTGGAGGCGAGGAGGTATCGCGGGCCCTGTCGCTCACGCTGGGAGGCGTCATGCCAGGCCTCCCGCCGAGAGGCGTCGCTGCCTCGGTGCGTGCGCTGGACATTGCCGATGAACGTGTGGCTGGGTGGCTCGCTGATCCCACGTTGGCACTGCTGCCCAAGGCCGAGTGGCCGGAGGAGGTCCCGCGGGCGGCTATCCAGGCTAGCTCGAAGGCGGAGTGGCATCGCATTGGCGCCAAGCTGGTGGAGTTAGGCCTCGCGGTGCCCATCGCCGATGACCGGATCTTCAAGGTGGGCAACGGGAAGGTGCTAGCAGGTGCTTTCGGGGTCGCCCAGGGGGGAACCCCAACTCCTGGTCATGATGTGGCGCAGCGGCTCATCATCAACATGGTCCCCGCGAACAGATACCAGCGGACGATGCGGGATGACATTGGGGCCCTCGGCGCCTCGCCGTCGTGGGTCTCGATTCCACTTCCTGAGGGACATATGCTGCTGTGGTCATCTGACGATCAAGCGTCAGCATTCTACGGCTACGAGTTGCCCGAGGCTTGGCAGCCCTACATGACCTTAGCTGAGGCGATCCCCAACGAGCTCATCGGAGTCAACGGAGCAGGGAGGACGCACATCGCCCTGCGCGTCATCCCGATGGGCTGGATCAATGCTGTCACAGTCTTCCAGCACTGCCATCGGCGCCTCGGCTTTGGGCTGAAGCCACTTGCTGCAGGGTTCCCGCCCCAAGCTGAGTGGAGGAAGGTCCGCCCGTTGCCCCTGAAAGTGAAGGAGCTGGAGCAAGCCTGGGTGCAGTATTACATCGACGACTGGGACCGCGGGGAGATCGTCCAGGGTAGCCGCCTGGAGGAGTTGGCCGGCACGCTTAGCGAGGTCCAGTCTGAGCAGCGCGCCGCCTACCAGAGGAGCGGCATCCAAGTTGCTGAAGGCAAGGCCAAGCACCGCGAGCTCGTCCTGGATGGAGCGCATGGGTGCTGGGCTAGACGGCGTGGTCGGCCGAGTTGGAGTCACAGTCGAGAAGCAGCTCCTGCTCTTAGCGCTCGTGATGTGGGTGTTGGGCCAGCCTCAGGTCACGGTCAAGGCAATGCTCGTGGTGCTGGGCCGCTGTGTGCGCGTGGCGGAGTTCCGCCGGCCGTTCATGGGGTTCCTGAACGAGTGCTGGGCTGCTGGGCCAAGCTGTGCCCTCGGTCATGTGCGGCGAGCTCTTAGTCTTTTGCATGGCCCTCCCACTGGCTTTCACCGACTTGCGGGCCAAGATCGACACGGGGGTGATCGCGACGGATGCGAGCGAGCAGGCGGGCGGCATCTGCTATTCCGCTGGCCTCACCGCTCGGGGCGTGCTGGCAGCCACAGGCGAAGGAGGACTGTGCGAGGAAGCCGTGCACGCCCCCTTCGCTGCGCCGCAGATGATACAATGGCGGCCGCGCGTCATCCTAGTGGAGTTGTTCGCCGGGGCTGCCGCTGCTGCCGTGGCCGCGCGTCGCCTGCCCATGAGCGTGGCCGCCCACCTCTGCTCGGAGGTAGAGCCGGCTGCGCGGCGGCTGGTGCGGCGGCGGTGACCCGGCGTCATTGAGCTGGGCAACGTCGAGGCCTTGGACCTTGAGCGATTCACCCGCATGCTTGAGGGGTTCAGGCGCGACGCCCACTGGGTCTTCATTACCGCGGGGAGTCTGTGCCAGGATCTCTCTACTTTCAACGTGGTGGGCAAGGGCCTGGAAGGAGACAGGAGCAAATTATTCTGGAAGGTCCCTGCCCTCATCGAAGCCTCCAAACGCGTGTTCGGCAAGCGCGTCGATTGGTTCGTCGAGAATGTGTTCAGCATGGGCGCCGAGGCGAGGGGCCAGTTCTCGCAGGCGCTGGGCGTCGCGCCGCTGCTGTTAGAGGCGAAGGACTTCACCAGGGGACGCAGGCGCCGTCTTTTCTGGTGTTCCTGGCCCGCCGGCAGTCATCTTCCGCATGGCACGAGCATCGAGGTGAAGAGCGAGGGCATCAGTCAGTATAACAAGGTTGAGGTCAGCGTAGAGCGCGCCGCTGCTGACCGTTGGCCTCTGCCAGGATGGAGGCTGGACGACCCCGAGGTGGGCCTTCCTTGCCGGGCCAGGCCAGTGCCACGGCGACGCCCGCCGCTGAGGCCTGTCGGCGTGGAGCGCGCCAGTTCCACAGCGCTGGCGCGCTGGGCCGCAGAACAGCACCGCTACCAGGTCAGCAACTATGAGGATGCTGTGCTGCTGTGGAGCGCCGATCGAGCGCAAGGTAGGCTTCCTGTCGCTGAGGAGCGAGGTGTGCTCATGGGGTTTGACAGGCGCTATTTGAAGCAGCCGTCAAGGACAGCGCCCCCTCGGCAGAAAGGGACATCATCATGGAATGCCTTGTTGGTAATACTTTCTGCGTCCAGTGCGTCATGTTCCTTTTCGGCAGCTGGCTGGCTCAAATTGGGGCTTTGTCCGCGCCGCTTCCCGCCGAGCAGCGTTTGCAAGTCGGCGAGCGGGAGCCCAACTGGAACATCGACGCTGGTTTCAAGACTCCTGGCTACAGGCACGCTACCGCCGAGCGGGGGCTCATCGTCGACGTCCTGCGCGTAGCCGATCGGGGCGGCACGGGCGTCGTACGTGACTGTGGAGCCCCGTGCCGAGCTCGGGCGTGGCCAAGGTCGGCTCTGCGAACGTCGCTGTGGGCTTGGCGCATTGCCAAGAGTTTCAAGTGGCAGCGACCAGCTCACATCTCCGAGTTGGAGCTGGAGGCCGCAGTGGCTGGAGCCAGGTGGCGCTGCCGAGACGTTGCGAAACAAAGCTGCCACTACCTGCGCCTGCTCGACGCCCAAGCGGTGGCAGCAGTCTGCACGAAGTGCAGGTCGAGCGCCTGGCGGCTACAGCCAGGGATCAGGCGCCTCAATGCGCTTGCGCTCGCGACCAACTGCTACCCGATGTACGGCAACTGCGACACAGACGACATGCCCGCGGACGTCCCCTCCCGCTGGACAGGGGCGCGCTGCGGCCCGGGCGAGGAGAGTGGCAGCGGAGGCTCTGGCGCGGAGGACGGCCGCCCGCAGCAGACCCCTGCGAGAGCTGGCAGTCACTCCTGTCGCGCGGAAGCGCTACCAGGAGGCGGTCGACAGCGTCTTTGATTGGTGGGTCGAGCAGAAGCAGAAGCAGACATGGGCCTGGTTGACTACATTGAAGGGCGCTGGGCCGCAGGAGGGTCCCTGCTCGACGTGAACTGCGCCATCGCAGGTATGTGCCACCACTTCCCCCCGCTCCGCGGTCGGCTTCGAGAGAGCTGGCGCCTGGCTCGCACGTGGCAGCGTGCTGAGCCGGCAGGGCGTGCGCTTCCGATCGCACCGCTCATCGCACTGGCGTTCTCCGGCGGCTTTCTCACGGCTGGGTTCCCAGCCGCCGCCGCCATCCTGCTGGCAGCCTATGACACGTACCTCAGGACGGGGGAGATCATGGCGCTGCGATGGCACGACATCACTATATATGAGAATTCAGGTTCAGCCATGATCAGACTGCGCGACACCAAGAGCCAGCACCAGACGGGAGCAGGAGAGTTCGTCATGGTGCGCTCGCAGACGGCAGTGGCGCTGCTGCTGAAGGCACGCGAGCTGGCAGGGACTGCCAGCCAGTGCGAGCAGCCAGCCATTGGCATAGCGCCTGCTACCTTCCAGCGGGTGTTCGCGGAGATCCGCTCGTGCCTCCAGCTGGAGAACCAGAGGCTTGCCCTCTACAGCTGGAGGCGAGGAGGTGCCAGCGCCGACTTTCGCTCGCGCGGGTCCATGGAGACCGCGCTGCTGCGCGGGCGCTGGGCCAGTGTGCGGACGGCGCGCCTGTGCGTCCAGGACGCCGTCGCGAGGCGACGACGCTCGCGCTGCTGCCAGGACAGCGCGCCGCTTGCCTGCACCTGGCAAGCCGAGTGAGGTAAACACACCGCTCGTTTTCTGCCCTCCCTTATCGTCCCTCTCTGTCTCCCATCTTAGTCAGTACGTTCGATGGGGTGAGGGTCTCGGGTTTCGGTGGTGGAGTTCGGTGTGCAGCCAGTTTAGAGGGTCCGTGGAGCCAGAACCTCGCCCCCGACAGGCTCTCCCAGGGGGGGACGGCCTTGTGCCTCCCGAGGTGCTCAAGCGTGCTCCTCCTGGCTGGTGCTCGCCAGTGTGGGGAGAGAGCATGCTTGGCCCTCCTCCTGGGGAGGCCTGTCGGGGGGGGGCTCGGCCCTGACCAAAGCGACTCCTGGCGGAGCGCTAACGGCAGGGAGTGGGGTTAGCATATGGTATCCTTGAAAGGGGGCCTATGCGGCTCCCAGACCCCAGGAAACGCTCGCCGTTTAAACCACGTTAAAACCCGTAGTCACTTTGGCCCGCCCGACAACGATCGGCGTGGCCTATTGCGAGGCTGGTGTGTATGGCGGTCTTCGGTGCCTCGAGCCCCTCGGGATCCGCCTTGAGCCAAAACCTCGCCCCCGACAGGCTCTCCCAGGGGGGGGCGGCCTTGTGCCTCCCGAGGTGCCCAAGCGTGCTCCTCCTGGCTGGTGCTTGCCAGTGTGGGGGGGGAGCATGCTTGGCCCTCCTCCTGGGGAGGCCTGTCGGGGGGGGGGGGCTCGGCCCTGACCAAAGCGACTCCTGGCGGAGCGCTAAAAACAGGGAGTGGGGTTAGCATCGTGTTGATATACATATATATATATATATATATATATATATATATATATATATACACACACAGATGTTTTTGTTGCTGTTTTTTTCGGTCTGCGGAGGCCGTTTTCGGGCCCTGGGTCCATCAGAAACAGATCTGGGGTGGCGCGCTGCACCAGATGGACCCCGGGAGGCGTCAGGGAACCGATTTTGAGCGCATTTGTCTTCCCCCCCCTCGACCGATTTTCTCGGGGCCCTACCAGCTCAGCACACCCCCCAGCCGCCTCCAAGTCCAGCTGCTGCAGTTCGTTAGCTTCCGGCTCGTGGACAACCGCGGGTGCTCAGGTAGAAGGAGACCAGGACACAGAATAACCAGGACATTGGCAAGTCGGGGAAACGACACCGTTTCCTGCAAAGTCAGATCTGGTCGTCCAGTGCAGCCTTCTTTTGCTGCGCTGCAGGATTCGGCTTCTGTCCGGGGCTGTGGATGTTTTGCATTGCTTTTAGGGCCTCTGTCCAGGTTTACCACAGGAATATTGCAGTGCTGTTTTTTTCCGGGCCACCGTCTGGAAAAAATGGTTTCGAGGGATGCTGGATGTCCTGGTCTAGCGTGTCCTGGTCTACGTGGCCCTGAGGTACCGCCACGCGATGCTGAGCACCGCGCGCACCATCGACAAGAAGACCGCGGGCCTGCCCGTCGTCGAGCTGGTTGTGCGCTCCCTGCTGCTCCGCGGCGCCTCCGACACCCTCGACAGCCAGCTCGTGGAGGCCGCCCAGGAGACGCCCCCTTCCAGGGCTCGTTTCGGTTCCTCCGATTCGATTCGATCCGATTTCGATGGATTCCGATTCCGATTCGATTCGATTTCGGGTTCCGATGTGGGGTCATATTTTTCAATGGAGGCCTAATAGCCGGCCGATGTATGCCGATTCGACTTTTCCCAACGCGGCTGCCGATCCTCGTCGACCCGATTCATGTTGATCGCCGATTCGACTTGTCGATTCGATTTGGGGCTCTCCTGACAGACAGAAGCGGAAAGGACATGCCCCTCTCCCTCAGAGGAATAAACAAGGGCATAAGCATGAACGTGCGGAGCCCCGAGCAGGTTTCTGGGATCGGCGCTGGGTCCCCCTGGCGGCGCCTCCGTGCGATCCGAGAAGCCTGCGCGGATCACCGAAAGTTTATGTGTATGCACCTTTTTGATCCTCGCATGCCGCCCCCCCCTCGCAGATTTGAACTTCAGCGCTGCCTTGTGCTCGCGAGCTGCACCGTGCACGGGCGAGAACGCACCGCGTCCGCCTCGGCCCACGAGGAGGACCCTGGTGAGCTGCGCGCGCCGCCGTCGGAAGCAGGCGGCAAGCGAGATCGGAGTCGGGCCGACGACGGGGCCGCGCCGGCATCCAAGCTGCGATGCCTCGTTTTCAGCTTTCTGGTTCACCCGCGGGGGCAGCGGAGATGATCACGCTTCGCGCGTCGCAGCTTGGAACGGAAAGCTGCCCTTCGTCCGGCGCCGCCCAAGCATACTACTACCATTACGACCATGATGACATGAGTGCGCCGGCCACAGCACGGGCGGCGCGCACGCTCGGAAATCGTACAGCAAGAACTCCGTGGCGGGCGCTCTCTGGCCATGCCGCTCGCGAAACGATGTGCTGCACGATCCTGCGCTGTATGCTCGGGTAAGGCGTGGGTCTCCAGCAGAGGCGCAGGGTACCAGTAGGCCCGCATGCGTCCCAACTCGTGGGCGAAGAAAGCACGTCCGTATCCGCAGCCTCGCGGGCCTGGCCCCTGGGAGCGCGACCCCGCGGCTGCGGAGCGTTTTTTTATTTCTTCGCGGATGCCCCCCCGCGCGGCAAGCGCACCCGTGCTACCGCGCGTATCCACTGTCTCGCGCCCTGGAGTCTAGACCGCAAGGGCGCGGATACGGACATGGTCGCCGCTCGTGTTTATGATGTTCCTGCCTACTTTGGCCTTGCTCACCAGGAATTTCGAGCACCAAGGAAGTAAGGAAACTGGAGGGATTTCACGTGTCGGGCCCTGGGAGGCGATGCTCGTTCGACGCTGTTTCGATACTTTTCTGGGTGCTCGAGATTGTTTCTGGGATGTGGTCCTCAAGTCCGATGGGAGCAACATGACGCTCGTGAGCCCTTCGCCAAACGGAGGGGGGGGGGGGAAGCGGCGGCGCGAGGGCCCGAGGGGGGGCTCGAGTAGGAGCGCGTGCCGCGCCTCGCGGGGGGGGGGGCGGTGCGCGAGGTTGGGCGGCTGAGGCCTGGAGACTTGGCGTCGCCAGGCGGCCCGTCCCCTCCAGGGGGCCTCGGGCCACCGAGAGTACAAGAGCCCCTGGCCCTCCTGACGCAGCGAAGACGTGGCCTCACTGAGGTCCCCGTTCGCCGGCGTCGGGGCTGATGAACCTGGGCGGTTTGGTGTTTGGTTTTGGCCCTCCTAGCTTAGGGCCCCTCCCAGACGGTCAGGGGTCCTCTTTTGGTTGATCATCTTGGGCCGTCTCGGGGTTCGTTTTGGGCCCCCTTGGGCCGCCTCGGGGCGATGCTTGGGGGCCTCTCCTGGGCCCTCTTGGAGCGCGGGAAGACCGGAGAGGCGAACACGGTATACAGCATCGGGCAAAGCCCCCCCGGCTTCGAAGAGCAGCGCACTGCACACTGCATGAGCATAACTTCTTGGAGCTCCGCGCCGGTTTCTGGGATCGGATCGGCGTTGGGCCTCCGCCTCCGGCGCCGCCCCAGGCGCGCTCCGCGCGCCAGGGAGGGGGGTCCAGCGCAGATCCAAGCAGGGGTCGACCCAGACGATGCTTTGGCAATTTCGTAGGCCGTTTTCGTTTCGACTTCTTTTGCAGCCAGGGCGAGTTGGAGACAAAGCGGAAGAGAACGAATGCAACATGAACACGAAAAACATTGTTTATTGGTCGATCCCTGGATCCAGGAAGCCCGCGCGGACCTTCAAGCATTCATGTCCATGATATCTCTTCTTCTTCTTCTCATGCAGTGGAGACCCATGCCAAGACACCTTGCTTGCCTCCAGGGTGCCCTAGATTTCTTGGGTTTCGATGGTTCTGCTATGGAACGTGTGGCGTTCCCATTCAAAAAATCGATGGACGTCTTGGGGTCTCAGGGTTGGGTTTCTTGTGGAAGGTCTCTTGTGGGCTGGCCTCCACTGTATGTCCACGATATCTCTTCTTCTTCTTCTTCTTCTTCTTTTTTTTCCTTCTTCTTCTCGTAACATGAAAGCAGCGTTTGCCTCTCGAGGCCCTCGTGGTGGTCTGTCGGGGCGCCGCCGGGGGCCCCGCGGAGGGGCCGCCTGCGATCGGCTCGCGGGTGGCGCCGCGCACCGCGCTCCGCGGCCCAGGCCAGGGGCTGTCGCCCTTCCCTGGACGGGTGTCGCCGTGAGCGCCCCTCGTCTCGGCCTCCCAGATGGGGCCCGAGCAGATGGGATCGGAGGATCGCGCCGCATCGCCGACGCATCGACGATGTATCGGCGATGCTGCGCGATCCCCCGACCCCATCTACTCCGACTCCATCTGGGAGGCCTCTACCTCGTCTCCAGTGTGGCGTGTCTCGCTGGCGGCCCGCGTAAGCCGCTGCGTAAGGTCGCAATGCCATCTCGCGTGCGGTCGGACCGAGGTATGAGATCGAGGTCGGTTCGGGGAGGGTCCCCTCATGTCCTTCGTGCTTGTTGGGTACTCTTGTGCATCCTGGGGGAGGGTACCCTCGAATGCTCTTCAGTTTGGCCAGCGGAGGGTCTCGTGTTCCTGAGGGATGTTCTTCTGTTCTAGTTCCGGCCGTGATACCCCTTTCGTTTCGCCGCCCACTTGGGAACCCTGCCCCTGCGGGCCCAATCGGGGCTGGGGTGGCATCGGACACCGGCGCTGGGGTTTCTCTTGTCTGCAGGCATCCCTCAACTTCTGAACACCCTCCCGTTTGTCATACTGCTGACCTGCAGGGGGGTTCGCAGGTGGTTGCCTGCGCGCGGCGCGAAGCGCGAAGTTGGGTGACCTGCAGTGGGGGCGCGCATCCCAGAGGCGACGTCAGTGGGAGATGCGTCGACCTCCAATCGCCCGTTGGCCGCCGACATGTGCCCACTAGCCCACCCCGCCCAGGACCGTGTGGTTTCGCAATCGAGGATGCTCCTCCCCTCATTGAGAACAAAGAGACCCCTGACCCTAACAACACGATGAGGACGGACGTGGCCTCACTGAGGTCCCCGTTTTCACATTAGGGATCATAGATCTGGGCGGCTTGGCCTGGTGCATCTGCAGAAAAGACTCCCTACCCATCGGTTGCTGAAAGTAGGTATTTTTGGAGTCCCAGATTCCAATCTACTTTAAGTGGCTTCGCCTTTTCCGTCCTCTTTAGTGGACGGGCGCATACCCGATCTACTTTCAACGCCATCCTACTTCATGTTTCTACCTACTTCTTCCGACCCATGGGTATCCCTAATGTTTCTGGCCCTCCTAACTTGGGTCCCCTCCCCAAACATGGTTAGGTTGTTTCAGTTCCCAACCCTCCTGCGTTGGGTACTCGTTATGAATAGAGCACTCACTGCGGTCGCGTCTTCTTCCTCCTCCCGCCTCGTCCTCTCTTCCCTCCTCCTCTCTTCGGGCTGCGATCTGTGAAACTGTCGCCACTTTCGAGGGCTGCTGGGGGGCCCAGCGGATTGACGCCCCACGCAGACTCAGATTAGACCTCGCCATCCCTGTGGGGCTGCGATCTGTGAAACTGTCGCTACTTTCGAGGGCTGCTGGGGTGGCCAGTGGAGTGATGCCCTACGCAGACTCAGATTAGACCTCGCCATCCCTGGGGGGCTGCGATCTGTGAAACTGTCGCCACTTTCGAGGGCTGCTGGGGGGTCCAGCGGAGTGGGGTCATACGCAGACTCATATTAGAACTCGCAATCCCTGTGGGGCTGCGATCTGTGAAACTGTCGCCACTTTCGAGGGCTACTGGGGGGTCCAGCGGAGTGACGCCCCTCGCAGACTCCGATTAGACCTCGCCATCCTTCGGGGGGCTGCGATCTGTGAAACGGTCGCCATTTTCGAGGGCTGCTGGGGTGGCCAGCGGAGTGACGCCCTACGCAGACTCATATTAGACCTCGCCATCCCTGGGGGCTGCGATCTGCGAAACTGTCGCCACTTTCGAGGGCTGCTGGGGGGCCCAGCGGAGTGACGCCCTTCGCAGACTCAGATTAGATTTCGCCATCCCTGGGGGGTTGCGATCTGTGAAACTGTCGCCACTTTCGAGGGCTGCTGGGGTGGCCAGCGGAGTGACGCCCCCCGCAGACTTAGATTAGACCTCACCATCCCTGGGGGCTGCGATCTGCGAAACTGTCGCCACTTTCGAGGGCTGCTGGGGGGGCCCAGCGGAGTGGGGTCATACGCAGATTCAGATTAGACCTCGCCATCCCTGGGGGTCTGCGATCTGTGAAACTGTCGCCACTTTCGAGGGCTGCTGGGGGGCCCAGCGGAGTGGGGTCATACGCAGATTCAGATTAGACCTCGTCATCCCTGGGGGTCTGCGATCTACGAAACCGTCGCCACTTTCGAGGGCTGCTGGGGAGCCCAGCGGAGTGACGCCACACGCAGATTCAGATTAGACCTCGCCATCCCTGGGGGTCTGCGATCTGCGAAACTGCCACCACTTTCGAGG